CCTCTTTACAAAGCTGCCATGTTTATTGACAAGCTTCTTCTCAGCTGGAGGCGTCGCTGCGTCTCTGTGCTCCCTCAGCGTGTTGCCCCTCACATCTTCACTTCTGTGATGTTTCCCTCACATCAGTTTCAGACACGAACAGACGAGGAAACAGTAACGGGGGAGGGGGGAGAATTTCCATCTACTCTCCACCTTCAGATTAAGTTCAAATCCTAACCCACGGAAAAAATCCTTCACTCGGACATGAAAAGTGACAGGGACGAATCGAAGCGGTTGAACATTCGGCAACACATCAGAAATCAGTTCCTGATTAAAAAAAGTCATTCGTTTTATTCCAATCAATCAGTTAATGAATGAATCCCACTGTCAACCATTAAGGGTTAATTCACGAGCTGAAGAATATACATGGAGCTATGCAGAAAAAGACTCTGAATATCTATCAGAGTTTAGAAATAAAGAGCTGTCAGTAAGGAATAGATGGATTTTATCTTCCCGACAGAGGCGACGTGTGAAATACAGACGGAGAATAAATACAGACGGATGAATAAAGAGATCGTTCAATTCATTTGAATGTGACGATGATGAGGATGATGAGAAACGCGGGTCAAGGACTTTTAAACACAGACAGAATTCATCACGGTGTCTGGACAGAATATTTGTGGCGGCAAAGGCAAGAGAGAGAAATGTATCATTGAGAAGTGATGTATTAAATTCCCAGAATGCCCTTTGGTAACCTCCAAAAAGGAGATGCAAAACGACATCTACATCCACATGACATGGTTTTAACCTCTATCTCTGGGGACCCATCTCAACTACAGGTGTGCATGAACCCACGATGCATCGAGGACACATTCCGTTGCGTCTCAACAGACGTCTTTATTGGCGACTTGTGATCAGATCTCACTTCTCTGCTGTGATGGAAATATATATCACGTTTATGTCGAGGTGATTGTTGGATTATAAGTTATCTTGCATCACAGCAGCAGCTTCATATGCAACATGACAATAAAGTAAAACAAAAGGATTCATTAGACTTTTTATCCAGTTATGTTAAACAGATGTTCATCATTTTTTTGAATTTAGGACTTTAATGAATAAATGATCGATATCAATTAAAGACACAGATTTCAGATCTGTTCGGTCTGTACCGTTTCTTACAAAATCAAAACACTTGATGACGCTGAGGTAAATTTATGTCCCTAAACCTATGCAGAAGACCCTCAAACAACAAAGCATAATCACCCAAAATAATTTGTGTGCAAAGATATTAGCGTCATATGAGATTTAACGAAATGAGGACATACCTTAACATGCATATGTGGATATTTAAAACATGTATGTAAGAATATCAAGGCCTAAAATGTAATTTGTTGAGTTTAAACCCTGGATATTAAGTGTGGGTGTAAAAAAAGAAAGAAAAACAAAAACTGAAACTTTTTCACGTGGTGGTCAAGGTTAGCATTTAGCTGGTGGCCACAAATAAAAAAATCAATGTATGTGAAACCCTGAGAAGAGTGAAAACACTGAGGGTAACAATATTAAAGGATCGTTGGTCCGTCTATTAAAACCACCACATTTAAGTATAAACCCAGGAAACCCCACAACATGCTGCCTGTGTGTGTGTGTGTGTGTGTGTGTGTGTGTGTGTGTGTGTGTGTGTGTGTGTGTGTGTGTGTGTGTGTGTGTGTAACCGTCGTCAAGAAAGCAAGAACTGTGAAGGGCAAAAAAACTCAACGGTGAAAGTTCACCTGCAGACGTGAGGATTAACTGCACTCTCTCACATTTATGGATGCTTAAAACCATTTAATGAGCCTTGAAATCAATAAAGTGCTGTTTAGTGCACAAATCAAATTGCTCTAAGGCTAATGAGTCTGCCAATTTGCTATTAATGGAGAAATCATTCCCAACACTTAGACGGAGTGAGATGATCATGTTAGTAGAAATATGACTTTCCATTTCTTCACTCCTGTTTTTGTTTTTCGTCACCACGGTGAAATCTCGTTTTGCCGTCAGAGTGGAGAACGAGAGGAGAAACACATTTGGATTTCTAATCCCTGTTTTTTTTGTGTGGGGTGACATCATCAGCTGTGGCTCCGGGGATGCCCCCCCCCCCACCCCCCGAAATCAAATCATCAGTCGGAGAACCCATTGACATTCTTCAAGTTGAGTATTCTTTCAGTGTCTGTCAGTGTGTAGTGTACTTCAGGGGACATTTCAGTCCCCAGACGTAACTTGAGAGTGAGCGCTGCTCGCTCTCCACACTTCTCCTTGGGCTTATTTCATTCCACTACATCAAATCTTCCAGTTGGCTTTGTGAAAGTCTCTGCAACAGGTACCGGCTCCTGTGGCCCCGCAACCAGGGTGAGTCTGAGTGAGACAGAGGCCGCTGCCCGGTCAGACTCAGAAAACTTTATCTTCGGTCTTTGGCTGAGAAATGGGGAGTTTCAGCTCAGAGCAACTGCGTAGTTAGCACGGAGGGAAAACATGGCTTAGTTATAGTAGTATATGAACACTACTGTCACCTGGAGCGCAAATCCTGTCCAAATATCTGGCAGTGCTATAAAAGCCTTACTCGAGTATCTATATTAAATTAAATTATATAAATAGGTAATTCTCAACCTGGGGTTGTGAGATCTTTTCTAGGTGTTGCCAGATGGTTGTGGAGAAACAAATAAAAATATATTCAAAATGAAACGGTACCAGCAGCACAACCACCAAAGCTAATGTCCTTTCTTCCATTGAATTTTTCTTTTCCATTAATTATATAGACTGTGGCTGCTGCCATTTTCTAATTCGTCCTGCCAAATTTCCTCATAATGACATAAACCATCTCTACCTTGCTGCATTGTATGTCCATGCACTATATTCTTCCTTTATGCGCCCGCACTGTCATCCATAAAGTTTTTATTGTCCACGAGACCTTCTCTTTCACTCGTCTTTTAGACTCTTTCACTCTTCAGTCTGTGTATCTGTCCCTAAATCGAGAGGCAGGGAACAGTTGACGATTTCAGAATGACGACCGCAAAATCAGGTTTTTGAGAGCAAACACACAAAGACAGTCAAACTGAAAACTCGTGCATAATCATAATGCAAATAACAAAAAATCTGGCAACTGTCGTCCTCTGTAGACAAACTAAATCCAGTCCCCATATGAACCGTCTTCATTAGAGCCCTGAGGGAAAGAGTGATTGGCAATTCTGGACATGCTCCGCTCGCTGGAGTGTTCATCAGCATTTAATTACAAGCTTTATCATCGTTGAATTAAGGATGAGAAACAGGCACACAGTCTCCTGCTGAAAACTCGCCATCAAATGATGGTAAATAGAGTTTGGTTCAATCGGTTTTCATTTCAGCTCTTTAGGCGATGGGAATATTTGAGAGAACATTTGTGGGGGAGCTTCCTGAGTTCCTGCCAATACCCGACACCCGTGATGTCAAAGGATTTTTGATTCCAAGATGCAGAGGTCAATGTAGTGAAAAGCCAAGAGCTATATTGGTAAACTTAATAAGCACAGTACATAAAGTGCTTGTTGATTGATTGTTTGGACCAAACATAAAAAACAACTTGACACAACTGCTGCAGCTTGAGTTGAAACGCGAACATGTAAACATGCGATCAGAGCAGAGAGCGGCCGCAGATGAAGCGTTTGACCTTTCTGTCCGACCCGCTGCATCAACAGTGACAGTGGGGACGGTCACAACTTTCTTTTTTTCTTTTTGTATAGTGTGTTTAATATCTTTGCTTCTGTAACACAAGAATTCCCCAGTTTGGAATCAATAAAGTTCATCCATCCATCCATCTATTGTTGGTTTAGAATAATCTCAGGAAAAAAGTTAAATATTATTTATAATAATGTTAAAAAGTTGAGAATAAAGTCAAAATAACGAGGAATTTAGTTGAAATGTCATCAATAAAATGGAAATGTTCCTCTGTCTATGACTAAAGCAGTAGATCGTCTGCACTCAACAAGTGCAGCACTGACATAAATGAGCTTTGAATAAAAAATAACAATCATTTTTCAACAAAAGAAGCAAAACATAAAAGATGTAAGTGAATATAAAATATCATATAGAGCAGAATAGCAGCATTTTGTCTTAGCTTGGCAGAGCTGTACAATCCAAGCAACAACATCGAGTATTGAACAGACAAGGAAGTGACTCAGTAAATGTGTTTTGAGGCAGAGTTTAGAAAAAACAGTCCGAGCACACTCCTCTTCAATTGTCTCGTTCAGCATCAACCTTCAGTTTCAGACGATAAACGACATTCAACCAACCCAATCAATTTGCTACAGTATCTCTTAATTAACTCAGCTCTCCCCCGAAAGAACTGTAAGCACGCAGAAAGTTTTGATTCCAATATTTTTCCAATTACGTCTTGATCTTTCCTCCCTAATAACAGCCTGATGCTCCTTTATCTTCGCTACAGTCTCGTCTGACAGACGGCGGCTGCAGCGATAATTAATCGACAAACCACCGGCCTGATGGAAATAAAAGGTGTCTGGGAAGAATCAATACAACAATGCCCCCCCCCCCCCCATGCATCGTACGGCTTTTCATTCACGAGGGGTGACGGAGCGTTTACTCAGATGTATACTCCTTGTCCACGGTGCGTCTGTCTGGCAGCTACACTGGGAAGAGGACAAGTGATGCCTTCCTGGCTCTCAGGAGGAAGCGTGAGGGTTGAGAACTACGGCAGCTGAGGTGCATGTTTATAGATCAGCTCTGACTGAGCGCTCCGTTAGAAAAGGGCCTTCACTGCCCGATCGATGAGGCGATTATATCATTGTTACCTTCCACTTCATTACGGAACAGTGGGAGCTGCACACATCCTCTAGGCTGCATGAAAATCCTCCGTTACACCGTGTCTAATCTGTCCTTGGACGTTTCGTTGTCGGTGAGCAGTCGTCCACACAATTCATCTGACATTTACTTTGATAAACACAGAGAGCTCATTGGATAAATCTTGCGAGACATGTTTCAAGGTCTTTCACGCGTGTTACCTGTTGCAGTCCACGTGAAGCAGCAGGTGGGAGGCGCTGATGGTGAGGGCGATCTTGTGCCACTGTCCGTCGGCGAGGCGGTAGGGGAAGGACTCGGAGCGCGGCTTCCCTTTGAAGCGGTAGTGGTAGCGAATCTCCTCCCTCACCCCGCTGCTCTCCAGCTCAAAGTAACTGCAGAGGAAGAGAGGAGGTCAGAGGTCAGAGGCGCTCGCTCTCCTGGACAAGAGCTTGGTTCCAAGCTTGGTTGCTGACAGATTTGTGAAATATGTAGCTAGAACATAAATAAACACAACGGAATCAATTTACATTTTAATAACAATATAAGTAGGTACGAGCGTGTATGAAGAATATCGGTCAATATCTCAATATTCAACATAAATCAGCCCAAATGTCCAGTATTAGCAAGACTGATGGAAGATTTAAACCATTTCAAAACCTAATGAGGTGTGAAAGAGGTGCAGGGGTCTGAAGAGACTCTGGGAAATATCCAGTGTATCTTGACATTTGAAGATAACCAACAAAAACATCTTTAACGATTCTTCCTTTCAGATGATTATAAACTCATAAAAAGATCATTATAAATATAAATGTCCAGATTTAACAATAAATAACCCGATCCTTCACACAAGTATAGCAACCTGATATGTGTCCAGTTGATGGTTGAACACACTCCTGAGTGTTCTCTGCAGTGTGAGCTTTGTGTAAAATGGATTTCTCTGCGCTCGTCTAAGCAAACAGAAGAAAGGAATCTCTCTTTGTCCGAGTTTCACCCCCTGTCCTCACTTTGTGGTGCGACTGCAGGCTTTCGACCTGCAGCTCGTGTGAGCTTTACTCTCCATCCTCAGCAGCTACAGTGTCGTGAGACGTCCAGGCACCGACCGCTGCAGCCCGAGAGCCGCAGGCAACCAGTCCTGACATTTCAGCTTCCCTGCAGCTGCATATGACCCCAACACAGGAACCACTGGCTCCTCAGTGACACACAGACACACAAAATATACTGTTGCTGCAAACACAGCTCTCCAATACATAATCTGAACCTAGATAGAACTTCGCTTATCACAATATATTTTGATATAAAACTCTCTCACACACACACACTCACTGGATCAAGCCCATTCAATACCGAAGCTCAACGGCTCTCATGCATATTTATGGAAGGGGAGAGTGCACCCACTCCACAGAATATCAATCAAGGCTGTGGGGCGGCAGACGGATCAGTGAAACTGAGAAAAACTTGTAAAAAGTCCACACAAACACACGGTACTGTAGGAGAAAAGATCGAGACGTGACTTGAACACACTGACCAGGTTTACTTTAGAACTGATGTCATCTGTGAATATGGCATAATTATTACAAATAAAAAATCCAATGATGCAAGAACAACACTGGACCGGTTGTAAACCAAACAGCAGGTGAGTCAGGTTTTCTATCTGTTGATAATTATCCTGATTTCCCAGGGAAACTGTGCACAGCTACAGTCAGCAGAGTCTATTAGAAGAAAAAATAACTTTCTAACAATGTGTGTTTGTCTATAACAGTTAAGATTATTTTATTTTTAGACATATGTCTTGTATATGATTTTTATGTGCTCTCCATTTTACCAACGTTGCAGAATCCCTGCATCTCATGCTAGAACCTCGGTGACGACAGAGGTCCAATCAAAAGGTCATTAACAATTAACAATCGATAAATGTGCCGTATTGCTGCCAATCATCAAGAAAATGATCAGATTATCATTTGACACCGTTGCAATGCATAAAATCTTGAAACAAATTGAGTGTGCAGAGATAATGAGGAGAGCTCAAACCTTTCCACTGATCTAATGGCAGCCTACCCCCCACCCCCTTGCACAGCAGGCTGTGTTAACACTAAAATAGTCATCACACATAAAATGAACTTCACAGGGAAGTGTTTTTCCACCACATTAAATTGCTGCTTACGTAGCAACATGCATGTGAGAAAGACAGAGAGGCAGACCAGCCGGTTGGGCTGCGCGCCTTTGTACCGCATGTCATCACTCTGAAACGAAATGAATGCATCACTCTGCGGCTGTGGCTGGGCACCGACCTGACAGCTCGTTTCCATCATGCTGCAGGAGGCACAGCGTCTGATACTTGTCAGCTGGAGGAGAATCATTTGCATCAAACGAGTAAGGGGAAAGGAAGAAAAACAAGAGCGAAGAGCTTTTCCAGCTTCGCCTCTTCCACAGATGGAAGCCTCCTCAGGGCTGCGAGAAACCTGGAAGCACCGAACCAGCGTCTTTCTGATTTGACTCATGAAATAATCATCAAAGGCATTAACTCCACGTCACGGCGAGGGTTTGTTTTATGAAGCATTTAGTGGTAGCTATTGTATCCCTGCATTACAGCATATTTAATGAAGGGGAATAATATATTGGCAGGGGGACCATTTATAATGAATAGTGTTGCATGACAGACACTAAGCATGATATATCTGTTTTGGTGCTTCTCTGCACAAATATAAACAATGAGCCTTATCACCATTTAAAAGCTGCCTTTTCAGAGATGATCCTTTCATAGCCGGCGTTTCATGCAGCTGCCTTTTCACTAATGGTAGCTGCATGGATCTAACACATTTCTAAAGTGAGCATCCACAGCTTTCATGAAAAAAAAAAAATATGTTTGCATATCAAAGAAAATAGAAAATTCTGACTAGCTGTGGCAGGGGAAGACTTTTCTATGATTAGAATGAGTTTAAATTTGATGTGATAGCTAAACGGCTGTGTATGCCTTAATTTCTGAGCAAAAACACACATGAAAAGAAACCGTTCATCTATGAGCTCAACGCAAAAGATTTTATAAAACAGAATATATAAATTTAACCAAGTAGTTGCTGGTAAAATAATGTGGTCAGAGCTGCAGTAACAGAATAGACTTTGTGTTGTGTTTCCGTCGGTTCATACAAATTGATCACCCCAAGTTAAACAATGGACAGCCCACAGGGGATGATGGGATATGAAGGAGCATCAAGGACACAGAGCTTGTGGCTTCCAAACTTGGACACACAAAGCTGCACTTCCCAAATTGTGAGCATCCTTCCAAAAGGAAAAGGCTTTGTTGGCCAATAATGATGTACTCGGTCCAGGAATGCGGACAAAGCGCCTGAACTGGGACACAGCCGGTCGTCTCATTTCTAGTGTAAACACACAACAGTTGTCCAGGAAAGAAAAATGCTGCAAACAAAGATTTCCCGCTATTCCACACATTTATTATGATATTTCTGCAAGAATTTAAATGTAGGACGACATATCAAACATAACTGACATGTTCTCTCCACCTTTATCTCTACATCTACACCTTAGCAACCCCCTTGGATCTCATTTCTAACAAAAATAAAAAGTACAAAGTACAAAATGTTCACTTACACTTGGTTACTGAAGAGACGAGGCTGTTTAATATCACAGCACAACTTGTCTTAGGTGTGAGAACCACAAACAAATGTTTGTTTTAGAGAATAACAAAGCACAGAGAACAGATGTTGTAAATATGAAGAGTTTGTATTGAACAGATTTTAATGTGACCAAGTTGCATAACTGTCTTTGTGTTTATTATTTATCTGATCCTCCTCAGTGGGCTTGTCTGGCTTACTGTGATATCTCTGAGGTGTGATTCCTCCAAAGATTCACCTCCCTTCAGGACCACTTCTTTTCCCACAGTTAGTTATGAGGCCATTTGCTGCACTGACCAGTTTCCAAATAACATCTGATGTCTTTATTCAAAGACCAAAGCAGAAGCCTGGATTTAAAAGACACTGCTACAGACACCTTTAGCAGCAGGAGACCACGCTGCTGTGCTGCCCTCTTTAACCTGGAAAATGTTCTTTCAACCTGGAATTAGAAACAGTGGAATGGATTATCATTCAAGATGAATTCAGACAAGTCGGTTTAATTTATGAATTTAAGAGAAGAGAGGGAACCTGAAGCTTAACGACTGGAGAGACCAAATACAAAGGATGGAACTGTAACACTGTGTAGAAATGTGCAGCTGAACACGCACAGTCCGCACTCTAAAGCCTTTTCCACGTTTGAGCACTGGAGAATGTCTGGAGAGTAAGGTTGAGTGCATATGTGAAAATGGCTTTGGAGCGAGGACGAGCGAGTGTGTTCATAAATGATCTCTGGAAAATATCCAAGAGAATCAGGGCTTCTCCTTCAACACATGCAGCAAACTCACCACCTCCATATTGTATTCAATTACAGGAAGAGGTGGTTATATAGAAAAATGTTTAAAGCTTTTTTACCGAGATGTCCCAGCTGCTGATTTCAGTGTGAGTACTTTATTTTTTGGTCTCCACAGCAAACTGACCCCTCTTCTAAAGAAGAGGTTCATCATTTTGGGAAAAATGAAAAGACCGGTTTCATAACTTTTCAACAGTGTTTCTAATTTGATATGGACAAAGCAGCGCTAATGGAGCCGCTACGTTTCTAAAGTTCATCAGCAGTTTTTCCTCATTGGCTGCAGAGCACATAGTAAATGAAATATTCAAGGTGATGACATAACCGTTCTCATAATTTGGGACATGGGAGGAACACTGCTGATGCCTCTCCACATTTTCTCCACAGTATTATAAATGTGCAGCGACCAGGAGAGATGGTGAGTCAAAGTGCTGAGTAATAAATAAGCAGTCGCTGTGGCAGGGCTGCAGGCAGCGTCTCCTGAGCCGGAGACTCCGGAAGGGTCTCAAGAGTGCGGTGACAGCTCTGGGAAGAAGCTGTTGAGTTGACGAGTGGTCTTCATCAAAATGCATTGGTGTCATGTGTAGGAGAAAAGTTTTGGAAATGAATGGCTGCCCAGGAACGCCGGGCTGGCTGTATATCATCCCGTCCTTTTTCTGCAACCCCCCGGGTGTCATGCAGCTATTTTATGGAGGGCAGCTGACAGCCAATTATCTGCTCAGTGGGGAGGTCAACACTCTGGAGCTTGTCCGAGCTAAGGGAGGAGGAGGAGGTAAACCAGATACCATATGATGGAAAAACGCACTCATGCCTTCACTTACTGACCTGGAAAATGTGACCAGGATTGATTGAAAGGCATTGTGCTTCAGTATAGTCACTGGAAGACTATATCCTCGATGGGAGTTAGCAGATGTTCTCCTCACGCCTGGCGATGGCAGATAGTTGTAACTGTCACGGCTGAACCTGGCCTCAGGTG